ACTCTTGGCAAAGTCACTTCCTATCAATTTCTCCTCATGGAGCCCCCACCACCGAGGAGAGTCGATATAAATACTATGTTCAAAAGCTACGGCCACGTTACAAAAGCGTTAAGACGGCTGCAGGGAGCGGGAGCTTAGATCAGTTTCAATGCAAAAACTGAGAAGTAGTTTGTGATTTTCGTGCTTATCCAACGGATACTGGTGCTCCGGGAGCAAAAGTCACTCAAATACGAATGGTTTGCTTCTTTATGACATGGAAAAACACCCCCCTGTTTTAAAAAAGTGCTTTGCAGCTAAAGGAATCCCACCTTTCCAGGTGGTTGCTGTTCATACGTGTCCAGACCCAAATGTGAAGCCATTTGGGTGGGATGACGTGCTCAGTACGTTTCTGGGACAAGGTGACACAGTCATTGATGGTCTGTTGGAGGAAAGAAGCTAATTTCCTTTTAAGCTTAAGCCTTTAGTAGTAACTTAATTAGGCCACGCTGTGAAACCATCACTAATAACTGTCAGAAGTACCCCTGAGTCACCAGAGAATGACAGAGCTTGGCAAACGGCCTCTTGCACGGAGAAGTGTGGAGTCACCTCCCACCTCCCTCTGAAACTGTCCTCTGCCATCAGAGACCCCACATCTCCCAGCTGCGTCCTGCCCCCATCCTGGCAAGACCCCCTCACGAGTGCTTTCCATACACATACACACACGCAGTGCACACAGACAGCCATACACATGTAAAATGACATTTTAAGAAAAAAAAAAACTCTTTACCCCAGCACAAGTATTTTCAATTTTGTGCAATAATATTACAGGCCAAAGCCTGCCCACATTCCTTTTAGCAAACGCCTGCTACTCTAATTCTTTAATGTTACTATATTTTCCAAGTTTCTATGTTCCTTTTGTTATTATTTCAATGATTACTAAAATGACACGCTGATACTAACTTACGCACTTATTTGGGGGGCTTGGGCCCAAGCTGGGTACCTGTAGGTTGAATTATGGCTTGTGGATGTGTTTCGTTTGAAATACACCGTAGTATAATAGTACGTTGTCTTTGTTTTTTAAAAATTTGAATTAGTTGCCAAGGGGCAACTCAGATTTATAAAGTTGTAGCGTGACAATGAGTGGCTGCAGCCGCCTCCAGAGAGGGCGCCGGTCTCCACTGTGCTGCGGCCCCACCACTGCTATTGTCACTCACCCGCTTGCGTGGTCGCCTCTCTGTTCCTGGGTGTGCTCGAGTTTGCGACCTTTGATTTTTGGTCTTTGCCACTATAGATAAGGCTGCAGACGATTCCTTCGGGTAATTTTTTGCCTCTGTCCTATTATTTCTGAAAGCAGGCTCACGGGTGGAAATGCGTTTGGCCCATGCCATTTTGCTCTCCACTGGGATGTCCTGGGGGGCCACGACCTCTCTTTTGCAAACAGCTGCCCTCCACCCCCCAGAAAAGCCCGGCTGAGCTGCACCAAACAGACCCTGTCACCTAGGAATTCGCAAATTGGATTTAAGGATGTGACGTGTCTGAGCTGATTGCTTAAATTGAAGAAAGGTAAATTTGGGTGGTGTGAGGGGTACCATTGGCCAAGTATACGTAGAAAAGAGAAAAAAAAGTTTTTGCCAAGAGAAAAAAGAATGAGCTGTATATGGACAGAGAGACGCCGAGGCAAGAAACTATGGAACTGAGAGAGGGAGAGAGAAACGGGGGGAGTCAAGTCCGGGAAGGCAGAGGTCAGAGGTCAGAGGGCCAGTGGAACTTGTTCCTGCTGCCCGACGTTTCCTTGGATTCTGGAAGCCACACAGCCTCTTTGCAGCAGCTGGATGGAATTGGCTCCTCTCGGCCCTGAGCTGGGCATTAGGTTCTTAAGGGCCTCTCTGTCCCGGTGCCCCCCCCGCCCCGCGTGCCGCACGGGAGGTGCTGGGAGCGGCTGTGGAATGCGTCAGGGAGCCCCACCTTCCATCCTCGGGGCGGCGCGGTGCTGATGTGGGCCACGCCCCGCAGCGCCTGCCCGGGCCACGCACCCGGGGCCATCTGGACGTGCCCCGCCTGGTGGTCGCTCCTCCTTCACTGTCTTCGTTCCCGCCGGGCGCCTCTCTCGGGTCTCCTCCTACTTCGCAGGTCCCTTCGCGGGATCCCCCACCGTCCCCCGGCTGCTGACGCGCCGCCCGCCCCTTCCCTTGGGCCTCTGCTCCAATGTCCTTTCCCGGCGCCCGCCACCCCCGGCAGCCCTGTCCGAAATGGCGCCGCCCTGACCGCCGCCGCGCGCAGTCTCCTTCCGTGATTGCTCCTCTTCAGAGCCATGACCAATTCCTGTAGCGTTTGCTTGGTTTGCTGTCTGTCTCCTCCAGCTAGAAAGTTCATGAGAGCAGGAACTTCCTTCGTTCTGTTCACTGCTCTTTCCCCTCAATTGGGACTGACAGTTGCTGCTCTACTCACTGGTTCAACAAATATTTACCGAACCCGCCTACTATGTGTAATAAATCCGAGAAATAAACAGTGCGTGTAGACGGAGCTCAGTGATGGAAAACTCAGAGTAAGCCCAGAGCTCAGTGGGGCTGGGGGCCGGTCTGGGAAGGCCTCCCGCAAAGGTTTGTTTAGCAAACATTAGAAGGAGGGAGGGAAGAGCCCTGCGCCCATCTGGGCAGCGGCATTCCAGGCAGAGGGATCTGCCACTGCAAAGGCCCTGAGGCACAAATGTGTTCGAGGAGCAGCAAGGAGTTCAGAATGGCTGGAGTGGATATGCGAGTGGGAGAGCAGCATTAGAAGAGGTTGAAAACGAAAGTAGGATGCAATGGAGATTTTTTTTAACATCAATTATATTTACGTGTCATTTACATACAATAAAATGTACCCATTTTTAGTGTACAATTTGGTGAGTTCTGACCAATTTATATATCCACATAACCACTGCCTTGATCAAGATATAGAGCATTTTTATTAATATTATTCCAAAAAGTTCCCTTGTCTCCCTGCAGTCCATCCTTTCACCTTCCACCGGAGGCCCCAGGCAACTTTGTTGCTATAATTGAGTTTTGCCTGTTCTAGAATTTCATACAATACACACTCTTCTGGGCGTCGCTTATTTTGCTTAGTATGAAGTTTCTGAGATTCTTCCATGTTGTGCTTATGAATAGTTTCCTTTTTCTGCTGTGTAGGACTCCCTGCTCTGATACACACGCTTTGTTCATCCGTTCACCTGTTGAAGGACATCTGGGTTGCTTCCCATTTTCCGCTATTACCAATAAAGCTGCTGTGAACATTTGCGTACAAATGTTGGTGTGGCCAAACGTCTCATTTCACTTGAGTATATACCTAGGGCAGGTATTTCTGGGTTGCACAGTGTATTTTAACTTTGTAAGAAAGTTGCAAAATGTTTTCCAGGGAGGTCGGACCGTTTCACTCTGTATCTTCACCGGCACTTGGTGGTGTCAGTGTGTTCAGCTGCGGCTGTGTAGCAGCACCTCCTTGTGACTTGAATGTGCATTTCTCTGATGACTAATTATTTTATGTGCTTAGTAGGCACTTGTACTCCTTCTCTTGTGAAGTATCCGTTCAAACCTTTTGCCCATTCTTTTAAATTGGGTTGTTCCGCTTACTGAATTGTGGTTCTTTATATACATCCTGAAAAAGTCTTTTGTCAGACATATTTTGTGAATATTTTCTCACAGCTGTGGTTGGCTTTTTCATTGTCTTTAAAGTATCTTTCAAAGAGCAGATGTCTAATTTTGATTTAAGTCCAATTTATCCATTTTTTTCATTCATTGACAAAAATTGTATATATTTATGGCATACAACATTTTGATATATACATACATTGTGCAGTGGCTAAATAAAATGAACTTATGTCTTCACATACTTACCATTTTTTTGTGATGAGAACAATAAAAATATGTTCTTTTAGCAACTGTCAAGTATACCATATGTTATTATTAACTGTAGTCACCACGAGGTACAACAGACCTCTCAAATTTATTCCTGTCTCAATTTTTTTCTTATGTGGTCAGTGTCCACTCCAAGAAAGATTTGCGTAGCCTGAGGTGATGACGGTGTTCATGTTTTTTTCCCCAGTGGTTCTATTGTAACTTATATGTTTTCATCGATAGAGGGTTTTAAGCAAAGACCTGACATGATCCGACTTATGCTAGAAGCATCGCTTTGCTGTGTGGTTCTGTGGGGGCAGAACACGGACTTGGGGACGCTTGTCGGGGGACCTCTCCAGTCACCTTGGCTTGGGCGGGGCTGGGCGAGTGCAGGGGGTGTAGAGGCCACACTCCGGAAATCTTTATCATTGTTTTCGGGGTCAGTCCTTCATCCCTCCCTGATGACCAATATGCAGCTTTGTGGAGAGTTACTTCCCTCTCTGAAGACGCAAGCGCTTGCAGCGTCGCACGAGGCCAAGCGTATGTACAGACCTAGTCGCGAGCCTTGAGCAGTGTCTGCTATGCATTTGAACTTACCTTCACTCTTTTAAGGGAAATAACTGCTTTCAAGTTTTAGTCCACACATTGTCATTCTTCAGGGATGGCAGCCCCAACACGACATAACCACCCATCTATCCACTCACAAAAGATTAAAAAAAGGAAACCAACATACTTCATGTCATGCTGTGCGTCATCTTCCGTGAGGACACACAGATCCACGTCTCTCTGCCTTGGCTACTCAGCTCATACCTGACCCTTTTTTTTTACCTCACGATTTATTGCTGTAAGTTCCTCTTTTTGCCAGATTTATAAACTTAACTGTTCTTTCTTTATATAATACCTACTTTGCACAACGGACAACAAGACAGTAAATTTATTGTCTATGAATTGTTACCTTGAAAAATTACATCAGTGCAAAGTGATTGCCTTTTAGCTTCCATAGCCAATAAATTTATTTTATTTTTTTTGGAGAGGATGATGTGAGGTCATAGGATGGCATATATAATCGGTGATCACAGAAGGAGAAGGAGCAAGTCAAAAGCTCCCTACGACAGAAGCCAGGAGGGAAGGCTTCTCTCTCTACCAATCATGTATAAGCTGGCCTCCTGCTGTTTGCTTTTCATAGGATTCTTAAACCCTCTCTTATCTCTTCCCGTCTCTGATTCCAGGGAAGTATCCCTTCAGCTCTCAGGTAAGATGGATTTTTTCCCCCTTATGTTGGTTTTAAAAGAGTCTTCACTGGTCTTAAATGTAATGTTACAGGTAAGAATGAAATTCTTGCTCGGGGGAGTCTTGTTACATCAATAGACCCAGCTTTGAAAAGAATATTAAAGGATCCTTACTGTACATTTTAGATTTAGTAATGGATACAGATTTTTCTCTCTAAAATTTGAAAGTAGAAGAGCAGAATTGCTTGTTTCATGTTGCCTTTGTAATTCAAATTTTGGTTTTGGTCAATATTTTTTTCCAATTTAAAAAACTGCACTAAATTTAAAACATCATGACTTTTAGTTTTTATTTTAAATGAACTGGCTGAATGTAGAATTGATTGGGCTAATTATAGATTAAGAATTTATTTATTTTATCTTATTTTAAGCTAAAAAGTAATCATCTGCCATATGTTATATGAAACAAAAAATGTTTATTAAAAAATAAAAAAGGGACAAGCTGGAGCTAGGATGTCACAGATTTCCAAGCATATGTATCTTTTCCTTTTGGCTAATGTCCACTCGGTATAAGTCTAAGTTGGATTTTAAAAAATGTCAGCCAAGTAGGTAATTTTTTTCATCCTTGGGTATTAGCATCAAACTTAACTGGATTTAATTTTCCCTTTAATTTTGGGTACTTTTAGAATTTTTTTAAGTTAAAAAAGCTCTTCTAAGCCATTGATTTTATATCTAGTCTCTAAAAGTTTATGCCAAGCAGCTCTGTGATGATGTTCGAGCACTATTAGTCATTCATGCAGTATCGAGAGTCACTGAGTTTGGTCGGCAGTCACCTTACCGGGTCTCTGCTATTTATAAAGGAACAGTGACAAATCACAAGATAAAACCAAGAATGAATACTCAGATATTACTGTCATCTCCAAAAACTCACATATAATTATTGTAATGAAAAAAACTTAGAGGAAATGAGTGTAGCATCTCAAATTCTGAACAGTTGGCACGCTTACCTTAGAATGTTTGCCAGATTTTTCACTCATTTGAAAAGCAATGAGCCTTTATGACATAAGCATTTACATATGATTGAATTTTATAGATTTTCATCAATGTTCTTTAGAAACACTGGGAATGTGCCCAGATGCCTTTATGATGATTTTTTATTGTCCTCCAATCAAGGTTGTAGCTATTCATAAGCCTGCAGCACACCAGTGTCGTGTGTGGCCTCCCGTCCTGACACCCACAGCATCCAACTCCAACATGGTGGCACCTGGCCAAGACCTAACCTGACGCGGAGTCTCCAGTACCACACCCCACACACACCTGGCATTCACCATGCAGCCACCATGCGTCTCTTATGCCATTTAGTTGACCAGATTTTACATCGGAAATGCCACAGTCAAGTTCCTTAAAGATTATTTTGAAGCTGACTCTTTTCTAAGTATGATGATTGTAAGGCTCGTGGCAGGCACCCCTCCCCTCCCTAAAGAAAAGCCCATGAGTCCCACCCTAAAGGCTGTAACAAAGAACTCTCTACTTTGCCTGCCGAATTCGTGCTGAAGGAAGACCCCCATCCCCCAACTCCAAAACCTTTATGAGCCTGTTCAACACTTGGGGCCTGTGACTTCTCTGGCCCCGTCTCAGGACCAGTGACCCTCGCCCGGGAGTGCTCTCTTTCCTCCTCCCCCGATAAAGCCTCGTTGCTTGCCCTTTTCACTCTGCTTCTCTTTCTTTCTTGGCCGCCCATCCAAAAACCTTACAATGATAATTGCATCTAAATTGTGAAGTCTCACAAGGTAACCATCCTATTGGCTTTATAGGAGGAACATAAACAATCTTTCTTCTCTTTTTCCTCTGACTCCAATTTCACCACCTAAATGTCTGAAAGCACAAGACAGTGGGCAGCACTGGATAAGCAAATGTGGGAGGGAGAGTCAGGCTTTCCAGTGCAATGGTTTTCGGGGTCTGTGGCTCGGCCAAAGGCAGTCGAGAGTCCCGGCAACGCACGCGGGCAGCAGAGTCGGCACAGGGTCCATGTCTCTCGACGCCCTATTCCGCCGGCTCGCAGATTGCACTGTGGCGTCCTCTTCTCTTTCAAAGTACCCCTAGTGACAAATGGTGAACTCGGCACTGGACGTGTTCCTAGTATTCATCTCCCTATCCCTGGTGCTCACCAGAGACAACAGGAGCAGAAATGGCTAAGGGAGGGTGGAGTGAACTACGTATCTGTTTCTACCTGCAGCACCTGATGAAGACGCAAGGCTAACGCTACAGGGCCTGGAAAGAGCTTCCCTTCTGCAGGTGCTGCCAGAGACCGTGGGTGTCGGAAGAGGCGATGCTCCTAGGGAAGCAGGTAGAATTATTCTCCTGTTCATAGGTTGTCTGATTTTACTGCTACTGAATTTGCTCTCTAGTCTCAGCCACTAGATGAGGTAAAACCCTGTTGTGGAACACAAAGATGAGCTACAGAAAGTAAGTAAATCACCAGCACGCTCCCTCCTGACCTTCCCTCTTCATTTTCTTTCCCCAGCAACCCCTTGAGAGCGTCATGCTCTACTTGGGACCTCAGCATTTTCTTTTTCACAGTGGATTTTACTGGGGGATTTGGTTGGTGGTAATTATCCTAGTTTCTAATGAGTGCAATTTAAAATCCTGGTTTCCCACTTACTAAAATCTTAAAACAAATTACTTAATCTTTCTGTATTCCAATTTCTTAATCTGTGAACATGAAAGATAAAAACATCCACTTCATAGGGTTACTGTGATGAGCCAACAAGGACACGCAAGTAAGATTTCAGCAAGTCGCACAGAAAGTAATCAGTGCAATGTCGACTTTATTTTCTCCGTGAACGTGTTCCTCTAAGTGTCGACACAAATGCCCAGGACGTTCTGGAAACAAAATGGAGCCTTTTAATAGGCATTGCGTAGTAGATAGGAGCTCATCTGTTGTATTTTTGATAAGCTACTGAGCTGCTAAGTTACCGGAATAATGCAGTGCCTTTTGTGAATTCCAGAGCTGCGAACAAGAAGGCCTGCCTCCGGTGTAAAAAAAGACCAGAAATCAGATGTAATTTAGCAATGTTCTATTTTGTATGTTTTAAAACAAGCATAAAATACCAACAATAGAGCTGATGAATTGGTTTCAAAATTGTTTTCCAGGTCCTAGTACCAATGTTTTCAACCCAAGAGGAAATCTGAGAAAGGTAAGTGACCGTTTATGAGAATTGGGTTTAAAAGGGTGAACATTCTATACTTGATTTTACAGGATCTTAAATTCACAAGGACTGTTTTTGATGGAAACCACACCTTAAAATAATTGGCCAGTGTGATTTCACAGCATTAATGTTTCCAAGTTTTGATTGATATAAAATCTGAGTGCAACCAGAACTTACCCAGTGCCTGTTTTGGGTAAAACAAGTTGTCAGAGAGTGAAAAAATAGATAAAGTCTGTGCTCTCAAGTTTGTCATTCACTTGTGCTTGCTTCTTTTTTTGGAGACAAGAATCTCACTCTGTTGCCCTGAGTAGAGGGCAGTGGCATCATCACTGCAACCTCACAGTCCTGGGCTCAGGGGATCCTCCTGCCTCAGCCTCCAGAGTAGCTGGGACTATAGGCATGCGCCACCACGCCCAGCTAATTTTCCTATTTTTTAGTAGAGATGGGGGTCTTGCTCTTGTTCCAGCTGGTCTCGAACTCCTGGCCTCAAGGGATCCTCCTGCCTCGGCCTCCCAGAGTGCTGGGATTACAGGCGTGAGCCACTGGGCCCAGCCTTGTGCTTTTATTCATCATCTTAACATGAGGCCCACAGACCAGCTTTGCTATCACTGGGGAGCTTGTGAGAAATGCAGAATCTCAGACCCCGCCTAGGACCTAAGGAATCAAAACCTGCAACTTAATAAGACACCAGGTGATTCATAGGGACCTTAAAATGGAAAAGCACTGCAATCTAACAACTGAGTGGAAGAATGACATTCTCAAAATATTGAGATGGAATGTGTGCAGCAGAGAGCAGAATTTCCAGAAAATTATTTTGAGTGTAGCAGAAAGACTGTAACAGGGATTGATGAAATCAAATGGTCAGAAATGGTATGCAATTAATGTGAGACCTTAAATGCTGAAAGAAAAATCTGTATTTGGTCACTATCAACCCCCAGAAAACTATGCATTAGTGCTTCCTAAACGGTCTGCTGCATGTGGCCGCCCTGTGAGCCAGCCCACTGGGCTGGGCGGGGGCAGCAGCCCTTCCCTGTCCCGGTGATTCTGTGTACCACGGGCACCTTAAGGTCTCCCAGGAAATCACGAGATAAAACTATTTAAATTTAAGTGAGTATTTCCTAACCATTTTGATCAGGGACATCTTTTTCAGCATAATACCCATTAATATTCTAGCAAAAATACACTCTGGAAACACTAAATCTGGAGACAGCAAACACCACCGGAGGTCCCAAGCGGGATAAACTGCCAAGAAGGGGACCGTGTGGCTTCTTCTTGTGGCTACTTAAGTTATCATTCAGATGTTTATGTTCTTCTGAATTAGAAGGCTTGTGATTAAGGACTCTAAAATCTTAAGGGTGATTAGTGGGATGTACTCTTATTCGTTTATTCTAGAATAAAAAGAAAACAAAGAGTCAACTTTTAAAGAAGTTAGTTTCAAGACAAATAGAAATCTGCTTTACACAGAACGTAACAAATGCACAGATCCTGTCACTGACAGATGATTTAAATAAATAGGTCAGTGAGTTTGCTTCCGGAAATCCTCCAGCTAACCAGAGTGGACGGGCCCTTCCTTACCAGCAGCCTCACTGAGCCTGGGGCACTCTCCTTGCAATTACAGTCGAGAGAACAACAGAGCAAATACTTTTTAACAGATTAGCCTGCCGTGTGAGTCGTATTTAACTCACGCTAGTTTTGAGCCCTGGGCCTCGTGAAGTGTATGTAACTCACGTCTCTTCACCTTGGGAGCCGCAAAAACTTTTTACAAGTTGCATAAAACTCCTGCACAGAAAACAATAAAAAATAACACATTTTGCATTAAATTAGAAAGGATCATTTTGTTTTCTAAGTTTTTATTCTATTTTCATTATAAAACACCGTGGTCCAAGGAAAAAATTTTTTCTAAAAGTGGCAGTCAATGTGTTAAAGGTCCAACGCATTCCTTTTTCTTATAGGACTCTTGATTCATTGATAACTTATCTGTTTTTTTGTTTTGATTGTTTTAGTTTCAGGCTTTCTCTGGACAAGACCCATTTAATATTTTCCTGAGTCATCTTTTGGCCGGAACCAGGAAAGAATACAAGAAACGTGGGACTCCTTCTGAATGCTTCTGGAAATACTGCGTCTGACACGGAATAAATGTCTATTAGTTAACTCAGAAACACCTACCTTAGAAAACTGAAAATAAAAGTGCTTGGCTTGAAAACAGTTTGAAGACAAACAAGGCAAACTATACCCTGTTCCTTATTATTTGGAAAATAAATCCTCCTCTATGTTTTGCAAACATCATGAGTGATTATTTTCCCTATAAATTATCCTGAAAACCTGTAATTTTTCTTTCCTTCAATTTATCCTTAGAGAAATCTCTGAAAATTTAGAAGTAAAATAAATGAACAGAAATACTAAGAAAAAAGTTATAATAGTTAAAATAATAAAATATGAATCATTTAAATAAACATTATTTTAGCTGTGATGTCCTCTCAACCCTGAAAAATGACATTTTTTTTAATAACAAATAGATGCTATTAATATTTTTAAAAATTAGCATCTTAGCTTGGAAGTATCTCTAAATGAAGGACGTCTAATGACAAAATGTTGGGAGCAGCCTGAATTCTTAGTTTCTGACAGCGGCGTTCACGTGCTCAGACTCTTCCTTAGCTGACCAAAGCACTGAACACTTGAAAACTTTAATCCTTTAATACTGACATTTGTTTGATCTTGGTTTCTGTGAGATCAAGGATTATAGTTCACTTATACTAGAGAAAAAGATCTTTATGTTTCTCACAGAAAGCTGAAGCGAGATTTACGATCGTGGAAAAATTAGCCTGGTTTATTAATTTTTAAAAACCACATGCATGTGTAAATACTAACTTATATTCCATTAATACATCTCTATAAATGTAGCTTATATTATATATGCATAGAGTATACAGTGTGAACTCCCAAGAGCTCTGTGCAGCTTCTCACACAGAACCACGCGCCCGAGAGAACTAAATTTTCACCAAGGAGTGTCACATCTGCACCAGCCGAACAGCACTGTGCAACTTACCAACAAACACCACACCTCCCTCACAGAGCACAGGTCTGATAACGCTGCCTTTAAGGTATCAAGAACAAACCTACAGGGAAAGACATTTTAAACTTGAAGAATGGATGCACAATCTCAGAAACATTTGGACATTAAGTATAGCTACGATAAAACTGTGGTGTGTCTCTCAATGTTGAAATTAAATTAATACCATTCTCTAAAACAGAACTTTGGCACCACAAAACTATTTTATATTTTTAATACCAGACATAGCTTACAAGTGGACTTCCATCGTAGTATAATTCTAGAATCTCTACTTTTTGAGCGATATTAGGCAATTATAGATGGGGGCTCTGGTGTCAGATTACGAGGTCCAAATCCCTACTCCCAACACAAACTAGCTGTGAGTCTTTGACCAAGATATTTGACACCCCATGCCTCAGTTTCCTTCTCTGTAAAATGAAGACAGTAACAATATTTCACAGCACAGTTGTGAGGATGCAATGAGATACTTCATGTAAGGCACTTAGACTAATATCTGCCAGAACAGTACACACTCAATAGATACTTAGCTATTTTTCTTCTTGCTATTGTTCTTACTGTTTTTTTTTACAGAAAGGTACAAATGTGCAAAGTCTGTTGGCTTCAGGATCTTGTTCCGTATTTTAGTTTCTAGATTTTGTTGCCACGAGTTACACAGACTTTGTGAAACACAGGTGCACCCCAGAAAATCTGTAAGAGTAATTTTAGATAATGGAATTTTATAAAGTTGACATTAAAATTAGTTAAGTATTAAATATATGTATGTATATTCAGGACTCAATACATTCTTCACAGTGCTGAAGTGAGGACTAAATAAGCCCATGAATTTGAAAACGACTGTACCTTTATCTTTCACACTGGAGGAGCTCAGACACACCTGACGACACGAACACAAAGTGCAGATGAGAAAGGCAACGTTAACTTAATGTAAGCGCCCTTCAGCAGATCTAAGAAATGGTTCTCAATGATATAAAATACATATTCAGGGCAAAGGCTTGTTGGCACAGTGCAAGAAAATTTCTCAAGTTTTGCATGTACACAGATTATTTATTGTTTTTACTTAAAAAGATATCCAATTAAAATATTAGTAATGATTAAAAACAAGTAAATCCACAGAGTTAATTATAAATTCAGATGAAACAAAATTTCAATTTGGATTAAATTTACCTTGTGAATTACCATGAAGTTTCACTTAATTGCAAAACTATTCATACAGCATCTTGTTTTTCATAAATCTTGACTTCTGACCCAAAAAATACAGTTTTTTGGGTAACATTTATGTAAACAGTGAAGCCTATAATATACATTTTTATTACCATTTTTATAGTCATTAATACAAAAAGTTAATAAACTTGAACAAGAAAGTTTAAATTGGGCAAAGCCCCCCTGGGGGGCGGCAGTCATCACTGCTCATCCCCACTGCCGCTGTCAGCAGCAGGAACCACCTCAAAGCGCACTAACTAATCTACTTACCAAAAGATGAGAATTTACAGACGGCTTTACAGATCTGTCTATAATAACAAGCACCAGTTTCAAATCAAGCCTAGTATAATATACACTCCATAAAATGTGTACTAAGGCAAAGAAATAAGCAAATTTAGAAAAAACAAAATATCCAGGAACAATGGAAAAAAGGGCTTGTGTTACTAGAACATATGGCTTAAGATACGCATACACGAATGCAGAGTGATCCTGATAGCTACATAGATCATTTTTGATTTATACAAACTTTATTACTACAGAAGGTGATTGGTGGACAATGTACTGAATGGTTAATTTTTTTATCAAAATTTGATTTTCCACCAATACCAAAATTAAACTTGACCAACACACACAAAGGCTTCAGAAATCTTTTAACTATCAAGATGGAGTAGATAGAATATGAGAATTCTCTATTTATAAAACAGGAATATTTGCATGGAACTGCTTAATATTAAAATTCCAAGACATGTCAAATGCAGCATCTGAGAATGGTTTTGACACCTTAAGACAGAATTACCATCCAGAAAACCACTATACTCTGAGGAAATCTGAGCTACAGGGAGAATCAGGGCCCAGCAGTCACCAAGGATAAAAAAGTCCATTCTCCTAATCATTATCAGGATGCATTTATAAAAAGCTATAAAACACAAAAGAGAAAGAAGTGCTTTCCTAAAAATAAACAAAAACAAAAAAAGGAAGAAAAATAAGTTAGTTTGTTGCAAGTTACATGAAGAAAAAAGGTTATATTGTAACATTCTTATATTTCCTTTCTGATCTGCATGAGTGTGAATTTCATGTCATTCCAAGTCTGAGAAGGAATCACTGACTTCTCTAAAGAGCACCAAAGAGTGAAATGACTTATCAAGTAAACCACCACACACATCTTAGAAGACACAACTAAAAATGGCTCAGAAAGCATTTATGGAGACTCTACAGTCCCCTGCAGGCTAGGATTACTGAGCTCCTGGACCATTTTCTCAGTGTGTAGTCCCCACAACGCTTACTCCTATTCAAGGGCAAACAAAAGGCAGTGCCAATCACACCTCTGGTAGGGATGGAGAGACTTCTTTTGTGTAAATTGATTGGAAATACAGAGTTAACTGCTAGTTTTGGTAAGACTGAACATTTAAACACATAAGCATATAAGAACAATATTAATTTTTACGTAACTTCTAAAACATTTTACAATCATTATTTTAAAACCACTGAAAAGGGAAACACCATTAAGGATCTCTTTTGTTTTAACACGGCACGTGCAAATGCTAATTTAAACTCGCCAAAGAAAAACTCATTGTAAACTGATCAACTGAGATAAGACTTTCGGAATTTCAGTGGAAGGTGTAAAATAAAAAGGAAAGGCATCTACGAGAATGAAGATCAAAATTCAACCCCCCAAACCAGATATTTCCAGACATACTAATGAACAATATATTTTAATATGTGCTGAGAAAACTGGACTGTTTTATCTTACTTACAGAGCCGAGGCGCCAACCTGTACACAGCCTGTAAGAATGTATCAAGTTTATGGAAACCACCATGGAAAGGACATGACCTGCAAGTAGGTGGGATTTCTTCAAGTACTCTAATGGGGGAAAACGATTTATGTAACAACAGAATAAAATGAGGCTAAGGTTTGGGGACCATTCTAGCTATACTTCTAATTTATTTCGGGTGACACGTGAAACAAAGTTTTGCCACACACATACCTCTTCAGAGGCCACCCGATCTCTTTAGAAGACAGCTAAACTAGAAAAAGCCTAATTGACAGTTTTATATGTCGAGAACAAAGAGAAATAAGATTCTATATACAATGTCTGGTTCAGAAAAATGTCTATTAAAAAATCAGTAAGGAAAAACCTTAACATTCAATTATAACTTCATAGTCATTTAACAGTACAGGATTTAAAGAGACAAACAAAAGGGCTATTTGTCCAACACGTCTCGGAAAGGGTATGAGGGTACATCTTCACGGTCACTCAACTGCTGTCTTCTGCTAGATTCTGACCGCAGAGTGGCATCATCAACCGAATCTTTGTCTTCACAAGTGACACAGCCCTCCAAAAAAGAACAAGAGCAGGCGGGTTATTTGATGTCAATATCATCTGAAGAGTTTTTAAATCAGTAAAAGGCTAGCCAAATAACGTATTTCTAACTCCCCAACTTATTCATGTCTGAAAATACCCATTATAGGTCATTCTTTATTATTAGAAGGTAAATGACAGAAATTGTTTAAATATAGTCATGCGCCACATAACAATGTTTCAGTTAATGACGGACTGCATACACGACAGTGGCCCCATAAGACTGTAATACCGTATTTTTACTGTACCTTTTCTGTTTAGATGTGTTTAGATATACAAATACTTACCATTGTGTTAAAACTGACTATAGTACTCACAATCCTATGCTGTGTAGGTTTGTAGACTAGGAGCAAAAGGCCGTACCATACAGCCTAGGTGCAGAGTAGGCTATACCATCTAGGGTTGTGTAAGTACACTTTATGATGCTCAGTGACAAGACTGCCTAATGATGCATTTCTCAGAACGTATCTTCATTGTTAAGCAATGTACTTTTGTTATTTATTCTACACAGGGTCTTGCTCTGTCGCTGGGGTTGAGTACAGTGGTGTCATCATAGCTCACTGCAGCCTCCAACTCCTGGGCTCAAGTGATCCTCCTGCCTCAGCCTCCCGAGTAGCTGGGACTACAGGTGCATGCCACCACACCTGGCTGATTTTTTTTATTTTTTGTAGAGACGGTGTCTCGCTCTTGCCCAGGCTGCTCTCAAAGTCCTGGGCTCAAGTGATCCTCTTGCCTAGGACTCCCAAAGTGCTAGGATTACAGGTGTGAACCACTGCACCAGGCCTGTACGTTTGTTTAAATTGCTTTGGGGCTCATTCTTCACAGACCCTTTTATTCAAAAACCAGAAAAACAACATTTAAAAAATTAAAGACATTTATAGTAACCAGCCCAGCTCCTGATTTTTGGTGAGACCCTATCCAACCATTCTTAAATGGCAGACACTCATTCTTTTCTTTGAAAATGGGGTCAGGGGAGACAATTCTGAGAAGATGGCAGAGCAGGAAGACTAGGAATCTGTCTCCCCACCTAGACAACAACTGCACTGAGGGAATCAGTCTGATGTAACTCTTTGGAACTCTGGAGCCTATCCGAAGGCCTGCAACTTCCAGAGAATGCTGAGATGGTAAATTGTGTTTGATTTTGGTCAGTTTCAGCTTGTAGCACAGCAGCAACTACCCACTCCCTAGCCCCGGGGCAGACGTGTTCCTGGAGCAGTTTGCACACAGCTTATGGGAGTCGGGGTGGGCAATGAGGACCTGTCTTCCAAAAATGGGGGATCTGTGTTTTGACTGCTGATTGCTTCTCATCTTGGAGGCACAGACACACAGGCAGCAGCCATTGTTGAAACCCCTCTCCCCACTGCTACAAGCTCCTTTCCCTCTAGTTGAAGCAACTTCTACGGTATTGAAAGAGCCAGCAGCCTCCCTCCCCTCCATCATTTTTCTCTTTTTCTCCTTTTGAGAGCCAGACATTTAAAGTCTAGGACATTCAAAAGCAACTAAAAATGGGGGAATTTAGAGAGTCACCATGCATGCCCGGGGAAAGGAGCAGACTTTAAACGACCTGAGAAGACTTTAAGTTTACACCTGCTAATCTCCAGCAAAGATACAGCCTATAATAATAATAAAAAGGCAAAAACAGAAACAAAAATCAGCAAATCTGGGGGAAGGGGAAGAATATTATTTCTAGACTTATTAAATTATTAGATTCAAATGTCTAGTTTTCAACGACAAAAAAATCACAAGGCATATATAAAGTAACAGAAAAGTGTAATCTATTCAAAGGAAAAAAAATAAACCAACAGAAACACTCCCTGAGAAAGACCAGATGATAGACTCGCTAGACAAAGACTTTAAAACAACTGTCTTAAAGATGCTATAAGAAATAAAGAAAGACATGGAGAAAAGTCAAGAAAACCATGTATGAACAAAATGGAAATATCAACAAAGAGATAGAAAACTTAAAAAGAAACCAAAAAGAAATTTTGTAACTAAAAGTACAAAACTGAAATGAAAAATTCACTAGAGGTAATTCAAAGGCAGATTTGAGCATGCAGAAGAAAGAATCCATGAATGAAGGTAAGTCAACTGAAACTTGTCAAGTCTGAGAAACAGAAAGAAAAAAGATTAAAGAAGTGAACAGAGCCTAGGGGACATGGGAGGTACCATCAAGTGGATCAATGTAAGCATGGGGGAGACCCAGAAGGAAAAGAAAAAGAGAAAGAGGCAGAGAGATTATTTGAAGAAATAATGGCAAAGATTTCCAAATTTGATAAAAGACATACATATAAACATCAAAGAAACTCAATCAACTCCAAGTAGGATGACTCAGAGACCCACACTGAGACACATTATAATGAAATAGTCCAGAGCCAAAGACAAACAGAATCTTAAAAGCAGCAAGAGAGAAGCAAGTCGTCACATGCAAGGGATTTTCAATAATTGTGGTCCCCAACCCCTGGTCCCTGGCCCATTACCAGTCCATGGCTCTTAGGAAAAGAGCTGTGCATCACCGCCTGAGCTGTGTACCACATCCCCCACCCACAACACCCCACTCTCCCATCCCAGCCCGTGGAAAAATTGTCTTCCATGAAACCAGTCCCTGATGCCTAAAAGGTTGGGGACAGCTGTTCAGTAAGATAATCAGCAGATGTCTCCGTAGAAACGTCAAAGGCCAGAAGGTAGTGGGCCAGTAAATTCAAAGTGCTTAAAGAAAAAACTGTCAACCAAGAAATCCTATATCTGGCAAAACTGTCCTTCAAAAGTGAGGGAGAAATGAAGACATTTGCAGATAAACAAAAGCTGAGGGAGTCTGATACCACTAGAGGTAGCCCTGTAGGTTCAAATGAAAGCACACTAGACAGTAACTTAACGCTGCATGAAGAAATAAAGATCTTAGTAAAGGCAAACACATGGCCATTATAAAAGCTATATTGCTATATCATTATTGTAATAATGATACATAACTCCACTTTCTGTTTTCTACGTGATTTAAGAAACTAATATATTCAAAAGAAACTACTAGTCTAAAAGCTAGTATTATTTTAACTTTGGTTTGTAATCCCACATTTTACTTTCTATATAATTTAAATAGATTAATGCATAAAATGATTAGTTTATGTTTTAGGTCACACACTGTATAAAGATCTAATATTGCAACATCAATAACTGAAAAGAGATGGGGATAGAGCAGGGTTTTTGTATGTTATTGAGGTCAAGCTGGTATAAATTCAAATTGGTATGATATAATGTTAGAATGTGAAATGAAATCCCCATGGTTGTCATATAGAAAATAGCTATAGAATATACACAAAAGGAAATGAGAAGGGAATTAAAGCATTTCACTTCAAAAAACCAACTAAACACAAAAGATGACAGTAATGCAGGAAAAGGGGGATAAGAACCCCACAAGGCATATAGAAAACACGTAGCAAAATGACACAAGTCCTCCTTTCCCAGTAATTAATTACTTTAAATGTAAATGGTTACACTCTCCAATTAAAAGACAGAGATTAGCTGAATGGATTTTAGAAAGTACTATTCAAATCTATGCTGTCGACAAGAGTCTCACTTTAGATCTAGACACAAACAAGCTAAAAGGGGAAAGGATAGAAAAAGATATTATGTGCAAATAGTAACCAAAAGAGAGCAGGGGTGTCTATAAATGAGCCAGTAACAAAAAAAACCAAACAGTATGTGAATTGTACTCATACAAGGTGCCTAGAGTAGTCAAATTCATAAAGACAGAAAGTAGAATGGTGGTTGCAAGGGGTTGGGGGGAGAGGAACTGGGTACAGAGTTTCAGTTTTGCAAGATGAAGAGTTCGGGAGATGGTGGTGATGCATGCACGATGAGAATGCACTTAATGCCACTGAAATGTATATTTAAAAACAGTTATGAAGGCAAATTTTGTTATGTGTATTATACAATAAAAATGTGTTATTCAATCTTAACAAAGGGAAGGATTTCAATGACTTGCTTACTTCATAAGCCTTAATATCATACTTTTTTGAACATCTACCTTTATTCTCGTTATAATTTTTAACCTGAATCTTTGCCTTCACACATCTGGATACTTGTGGGAATAGAGATCTCATGACCAGTACAACCATCGCTACCCTCGCTACAGCTGCCACCACTGCTGGTTGGGACAAGTGGTCAAAGCTTTACTGTTCAGGTTATTCGCAAATGACCTCACTGGGGAAGACCTCGTACCAGCAAAAAGACCACTTGGGTCCCACGAAAGTTCCTGCTTGGTATGAATACCACCTCTGGTGTAAACCTTACATTTTGAATTTTAACTCTTTTCAAACACGCAGGCATATATGAGATGTGTATCTCTTATACCTCTCCTCCCCAGTCAATCATACATCAAAGCATGTGCCTTTACTCTTTTTTTTTTCTTTACATCCACTAGGACAGTTTCATGTCTTCATTGCCTCCAAACATTCCAAGTGGTGGAAGAAAAAAAACCATGTGGAGGCAAAAAGACTTGTATTCAAAATCCAGTGAACTGCATAGCCTTATATAATTATTTAACATCTACATACCTTCCTTTGTTGCTTATTGATAAAGCAGGAATAGTAACACCTACCACAGAAGTAACTGTGAAGATTAAAATTTTCAGTGGGATCATGCGAGAACACTACCTGTATTAAGACCACCACCTGGCATAAAATATGTCAATGTATGATGCTGTTATTACTGTGCTTACTTGGATGTCTATTTCTTGAGGGACAGTCTGCCTTTGAACCCAAGAATACACCTTGGCCAGCTCCTCCTTTTGCCCTTGAGAAAAGTGGGGCTGTTGCTGCCTCATGCTTTCTAGCTTTTCTAGGTCTTCTTTTAGTACTTCTTCTTTAACCCTGAAAACAAACAAACAAACAAAACCTTAATAGTACTGAATAAGGCACAGGGTTCTTATCAATGTCATCTATGAAGAGCATTTCTTTTTGGTTAGTAGTATACTATATAGCTCTATATATAAGTTACACATTAAAAAACTAACTGAATCATTTATCTGTCAAGTTGGTAAAGTAGACCTTTTTTGCTTGGTGGAAAATATCTGTATGTTTTAACGGGGTATATAGAAGAAAGAGATTTCCCTTAGTTCTTCTTTTCTTTTAGTATGGGGAAAGAAAAAATCCAGGTCTAAAAAAAGCCCTCGCACTCGAGCGCCATCCCGGAAAGCACAGTCTCCTCTGTTTTCCTGTCTCATGACGTGTGACCTTCGTTTAGTCTAGATCTGAATGTACGTGGCACTATCACCATAATCCTTGTTTTAAGAAACCATTTGTCACTTGACTTCAAATGAATGGATTTGGAAATACATTTCTCTAAGGGTATGTATAAAACATTTAAAAGTAATTTTTAATAACATCTCTTGAATGTTGGGCAGGAGGGAAGGGGAAGGGGGAGGAGGGAGGAGGGGACGGGTATATGCATACACAAAGAGTGCAATGTGCACCACCCGAAGAATGGACATATTTGAAACTCGGACTTAG